CAGTTTATTCATCACTACTGTTGTCACAGTAGTCAGTGCAATCGTGCATCACACATGCACAACCACATTCCACATATGCAAAACCAATGGATGTGCTAACAGGGAAAACGTAGTCTCAACAATTCGAAAACCAATTTCACATTTATAGCAGCAAAAATAACTGTCTGAAATAACCACTGTCCACTGCTGTGAAGGTAGTGTAGCATGTTATTTGCTTAAAATGACTATTTTCAGAAGTCCACAAACTGAACTAGTTAGCTTTAAAAAAGCTCTTTAGTCACTCTACCAGAGGAGTGAGCAGAAAAATGAAAATGTCTTAAGAGAAAAACAGAACTGATAAACTACAAACAAAATCTGTCAATTTAAGGCTGTAATCCTCTGCATACTCCTTTGGTGGTAAATTCCAGAATATGCAGTGGGACTGAACTCAAGAAAACAAGCATATGATTGGACTGCAAATCCTGTAAACTCATGTTACTATGAAGGAACGTAGATCAAAGTGTTTTCTGCAGAAGTATCCCTTGACAGCTGAACTACTTGACACCTAACTAAGGTTTATATAGTTATTTGGAGCACTGCGATTGGCTGCAGAGTTAGTTAATATCCTAAACTGCACTGCTGCTTGGAAGTGGGGAAGGCACTTTTTTTTTAACATGCTTGAGTGTTTATGGATGTTTTGGAGATACACTAGGCATTCTGGTGGCATAACACTGCATGGAGCCCTGTCCAGGGCTGGAGATGTGTAGGAAGCCAACTTCAATGGCTTGCCTCGTTCCTGCAAGGTCGGGGACAAAGGGTGGTGATAGGGGAACAGCAGTCTTGGAGACATCCTCTTGAGTGCGGGGTGCCTCAGGGGGTGGTGCTGTCCCCGATGTTATTTAACATCTATATGCACCCCCTTGCCCAGATTGCCCGGAGGTTTGGGCTTGGGTGTCATCAACATGCGGATGACACCCAGCTCTATCTGATGTTGGGCGGTCAGTCGACCTCCGACTCAGATGACCTTCATTGGGCCCTTTAAGCTGTGGCTGGTTGGCTCAGACTGAGTCGGCTGAAGTTAAACCCGGCGAAGACGGAGGTCCTGGGCCTAAGTCGGGTTGGTTCGGGGTTGGGGCTCCCTCTCCCGGCCTTCTATGGGGCGCCGCTCGTGCCGGTGTCGAGGGTTAGGAGTTTGGGAGTGCTCCTGGACTCCACCTTATCAATGGAGGCCCAGGTGGCAGCCACTGCCAAGTCAGCCTTTTACCATCTTCAGCTGGCGCGGCAGTTGGTTCCTTTCCTTGACCGCGATGACTTGGCCACTGCGACCATGCGACGGTCACCTCAAGGTTGGACTACTGCAACGCTCTCTACATGGGGCTGCCTTTGTCGCAAATCCGGAAGCTGCAGCTGGTGCAGAATGCGGCGGCCAGGCTGTTGATGGGTCTCACTAGACGGGACCACATCCAGCATGTGCTGAAGGCACTGCACTGGCTGCCTATAGCATACCGGATTCGCTTCAAAGTGCTGGTTCTTACCTATAAAGCCCTTGATGGCCAGGGTCCAGCGTACCTAAGGGACCACCTTTCTCCATATGTTCCCCCAAGAGCGCTACAGTCGGGGTCGCAGCACC